CCCTAAAACTAGAAGTGACAACTCGATCCCCTACGGTGAGCTTCATTATACTGGTAACTACTCGGATCTCAAATCTCAAAGTTTTCGTCTCAAGAAAGTTCCCAAAACAAATTCTGGCGGTGAATTATTGGTCAATTGGTCTGTTCAGCATGCAGCGTGGAAGGGGTTTGTTGACCACCAGTATAGCCTGTGAGTCAGCTGAAACAAAACTGATCCAGACCACCATCCCCATGGGTATCCATGGTTTTGTGAATTTGTGCTGTAACATGCTGCATTGAAAGGAGCACAGCTGGATCTGTCCGCTGCGAAGGGCAAAGATCCCCGCAGCTTTTGTTCGCAGAATCCCTGCAAATGAGGCATTCATATAATTTCATATCATATCTGATTATCTGATCAGATTTACCTTTCGGATCTTTCGCGTTCTCTGATCTCAGGATCATATCCTTTTCGGCCTCAAACGAGGCCATCAAGCATCAGCCGGGGGCGCTGCGGCTAAATGCAAAATGGATCTGGTGTCCCACATGGTACATCAATGTACATCATATCATGGTGGTATCAAAGTGTATCAAACCTTTTGGGTGCAAAGCTTCAAGCTCTGATTCCAAGTGAAATGTTTGGGCGGACACATGCCGGGCACTTGGACCAAACACGTGGCTTTGCTGTCTCGAAAGGCTAAAGGCACACTAACGCACCTTTTCTCAGCTCGAACAAGAAATGCCTCCATATCGGGCATACATGGTATTCACCTCACTTCACAGACTCCCCCTCCGCCATTTTTTGGCGGATTGTACGGACGTAGAAGTCCAAAACACGGGGCTCAAGGCATTCAAGTTCTCTTAGAGCTTTTAGCTCTATAGTATTCGGCTTGCATCTTGTCGGCCGACCATCCCTTGCCAGCATTGTCATGCTGGAAGCGGTTCCATGGGTTCGTAGGAACCGGCTCACTCCTCTGGCTTTTCTGATGGCTCGCCTGCGCGTGCGCCACCAGATTCATTGGATGGCTTGACTGTGCCACCACTTGGCGCAGCCTTGCAGAAGCTGCTATCGCTTGCTCAGCGACTTGCCCAGCCACCATGGCTTGTTCCGCAGCTTGTTCCGCGGCTTGAGCTGCCAGCTCTGCATTTTCGGCCGCCTTCTCAGCTCCTTCGGCCGCTGCACAAGCTGCTTGAAGAGCTCGTTCACTTGAAACACTCAGTGAACTGGAGCTCTCGCAGCTCTCCTTCTTTTCCAGCGATCGTGCCATAGAACTCCGCCGTCTCATAGTCCCCTTTTCTTTTTCGACCCTCGAATCGTCATCACGACCCGGGCCCTCTATCAGCATGACTTCGGCTGCATCGAAAGGACACCCATCAGTTTCTTCTTCAGTTCTAAGGATACTTACAATGTTCATTCAACAGTAAACAGCTCCTTT